ATGAAGCTAACCACGTCATTTTGCACTTGTTTCTGTAGAGCTCAGTTTAGGCGACGATATGTTTGAAAGCAGTAAAAACCCCTTGGAAGAGGTGACCGCCGGACTGTTGGACAGCGCTGGTCAGCAGCTCCCTCTGCAGGCCGTTCATGTGAAGTGTAAACTGATGGATCTGCTTTCGCAGGTAACGGTGGCACATCGAGTCTTTTCGGTGTTTTTTATTGTTAGCTTGGTGACGTACGATTTGACGTTTGATGTGATCGTCTTTCTCCTTGTTAGGTCATCATCTTCCAGAAATACACAAACCTGGGCTCAGTGCCCATCGAGGCAAAGTATGTTTTCCCTCTAGACGATTCAGCTGCAGTGTGTGGCTTTGAAGCTTTCATCAACGGGAAGCATGTCGTGGGACAGGTAACGGAGCGTTGTTTAAATACTCGTTCACCGTCTGAAAGCTTTCATTTCCTGTTTCTGTGAATTACAATATAAACACCTGTCAAACTCTCTCTATTTATATAAACACATATAGAGATATATATATAGATATAGATATATATAGATCTATATATCTATATAATATATAGATATAGATATATATATATATCTATATAGATCTATATCTATATAGATCTATATAGATCTATATCTATATAGATCTATATCGATCTATATCTATATAGATCGATATAGATCTATATCTATATAGATCTATATAGATATATAGATCTATATCGATCTATATAGATATAGATCGATATAGATCTATATCTATATAGACCTATATATCTATCTAGATAATATATAGATATAGATATATAGATAGATCTATATAGATCTATATATCTAGATAGATCTATATAGATCTATATATCTAGATAGATCTATATAGATCTATATATCTAGATAGATCTATCTAGATCTATAGATCTAGATAGATCTATATAGATCTATAGATCTATATCTATATAGATCTATATATATATATCTAGATATTATATAGATATAGATCTATATATCTATATAGATCTATATAGATCTATCTATATATCTATATCTATATATTATCTAGATAGATATATAGATCTATATCTAGATGAACGATGAATAGTGAAGCTGCTCAGTTTGAGGGACTGCGTCTATCGTGGTGTTATGCTGTTCAACACAACGTGAGCAAACCGATGGATGTTTGTTTCTCAGGTGAAGGAGAAAGAAAAAGCTCGCAAGGAGTACAAACAGGCTATTGAGCAAGGACATGGAGCTTACCTCATGGACCAGGATGCACCTGTACGTCTAAACACACACACACACATGTAGGCCCTTTTA